TNCTGGACACAGGTTCACAAGTCACAACTGTGCCCCAGTCCTTTTATGAAAAACACCTTTCTGATCTGACCATTCATTCTTTAAATGATTTGCTTGAAGTGGAGGGTGCTAATGGCCAGTTTGTTCCCTATTTAGGATATGTTGAGCTTACCATCACCTTTCCTAAAGAGTTTGTTGGCTCTGATATTGAAATTAATACTTTGGCCTTGATTATTCCACACCTCCGCTCTACAGCCCATGAACAGGTGCTTATAGGCACAAACACACTCGACGTTCTTTACGCTGATTACCAGAAACTTTCTCCTTTTCAGCCTTTGATGAATGGATATCAGGCTGTTCTCAAAATACTTGAGATACGACAAAGGGAGTCTAACCACAGCCTTGGTTGTGCAAAACTAATAGACAAGCTGCCTAAAGTCGTTCCTGCAAGACAGACCGCCGTCATTGAGGCTTCTGTTCATGTTATCATTTCAACATTCAAAGAGATGTCATTCTTGAGCAACCATCAGCTTCTTCTCTACCGAATGGGTTACTGGTTTCAGCGATTGCAGTAACTCTACCAAACAAGCGCTTATGTCATCTTCCTGTCGTACTGAGAAATGACACCAATCATGACATTGTCATTCCCCCCAAAACTATTGTGGCAGATGTTAATGCTGTAGTACAAGTGTTATACAAAGAACATGCTGTCAGTGAACCAGACTGTTCTCAGTCTCCAGCAAAGTCTTCCCGAGAGCTAAGCTTTGATTTTGGAGACTCACCCTTATCCACTGAATGGAGAGACCGAATAACAAAAATGTTAAACACCATGCCAAACGTTTTCTCTCAGAATGACCTGGATTTTGGCCATACTGATAAAGTGAAACACAGAATCAAGCTCAGTGATGAGACGCCTTTTAAGCAAAGAGCCCGTCCGATACACCCCAATGATGTGGATGCTGTGAGACAACATCTACAGGAACTCCTAGATTCTGGAGTCATCCGGGAATCTGAGTCCCCATTTGCTTCCCCAATTGTTGTGGTTCGCAAAAAGAATGGTTCTGTTCGTCTGTGTGTAGATTACAGAAAGCTGAATCTACAGACCATTAAAGACGCCTACGCTCTTCCAAAACTGGAAGATGCTTTCACTGCACTTGCTGGTTCTAAGTGGTTCTCCGTCCTAGACCTCAAGTCAGGTTACTACCAGGTCGAAATGGAAGAAGCAGACAAGTATAAGACCGCATTTGTGTGTCCAGTTGGATTCTGGGAATTTAACAGGATGCCCCAAGGAATAACAAATGCGCCTTCAACCTTCCAAAGACTGATGGAAAAGTGTGTTGGTGATATGAACCTAAAGGAAGTTTTAGTGTTCATTGATGACCTGATCATTTTCTCATCATCACTGGAAGAACATGAACAGCGCTTGCAGCGTGTCCTTGAACGATTGATGACATATGGTTTGAAACTGGCACCAGAAAAGTGCAAATTCTTTCAAACATCAGTAAAATACCTTGGCCACATTGTTTCTGAGAGAGGTGTTGAAACCGACCCAGAGAAAGTTCTGGCCAATCCCCACAAATCTTAAAGAGCTTCAATCCTTTTTAGGATTTGCTGGATACTACCGACGATTCATTCAAGGGTACTCTACTATTGTAAAGCCCCTTAATGAACTAACTTCCGGTTATCCACCGTTCAGAAAGTTGAACAAGAGACAGAAGATAAATGCAGGTTCAGAGTATCGCGACCCAAAGGAGTCCTTTGGTCAGCGGTGGACATCCCAATGTCAGGGAGCCTTTGATGATATAATAAAAAAGCTATCATCAGCTCCAGTCTTGGGATTTGCAGACCCCCAACTTCCGTATGTCCTACACTTGCTTCTTCGATTAATGGAGGTTTATGTTTGCAGTTTGTGCCAAACTGTGTCAGTTTTTAGAAGATGGACTGAACGGTTTGTGGGATTTTAAGTTGAGCATAATTTTCCTTCCACTTCATAATTATTGCGTGTCACAAAAATATCTATTAATCATTTAATCTCATTTTAAAAACACATTTTAGTCAATTGACAGCCATGAAATATACTGAAGTTTGTAATGTGACTAAATGTAGAAAAAGTTCAAGTGTGAATGCTTTTGGAAAACATTGTAATTCTAACCAACAAACCAGTCAAGCAGAAAAAAGCAATTCTTGAACTGAGAAGAGATTATTTTTGTCTCCAGGGCATTACTGTATCTTTAATATACAGAGGAAAATACAGAGGAAACATTTATTTTAGTTCCAGAAAGCTGATTCCCAAAGAGTTGTGTACTGTAGGCAATGAACCGAAGAACTGTCCCAGACCGCGAAGGTGGGTTTTTCATATTCTGTTTATGTGCTGTGTGCAAACAGTCTCCAGAATGACTCAACAAGAGCCTTTAAAATACTGCCAGAGTCCGGCTCTTTGGCAGCAAAATATGTTGTTCGTGGTTAAACCTTTTGGTCTGCAGGTACCGTTCGAAGTCATGTTCTCTGTCGCCATCTAGTGAAACATTTCCGCTATTGCACCATGGAGACGTCCTTATGAACAGGAAAAAGTAGAAGCAATAAAACTCAAACTTTTCAGTAAGGTACAAAGTTTTATTCTTGAAGAAGATGAAGGTGCAGCAGTTACATCATGTGTTGAACTTGAATCCGTTCTCTGGGGTCCAAAACCTTTTAGATTTAATCAATTTGCTATTAAAAACATGCCTGCAGGTTTTTGTCTTTATTTTACTTTTGGTAAAAGGTGGATTTTGTACTAACAGTCTCTAATAAATGATATTTCTTGATATGATTTTCATGTTAGAGTATTAATGTTAAAATGTTGGGGGTTGGTTATAATGAATAGGAGCTGTTCATGACAGAAATGCTTAAATGCTGCATGTTTGAACTGAATTGAAATGAAAATGTTTAATCTGTTTTTTAAATCAGACTGAAGATCAACTGTCACCTCTTTTACAAAACATTAAAACATGAAATGATTGATTTAATTATAAAATGGAGCCGGTTGAAAATAAGGCTTTGAGTGTTTAAAGATGGTTCTCATTTGCCCTGTTTGGTTCTGCAACAAAAAAAGGAAATGTAATAAAAAAGCAAAGTAGCAAAAGAAAATCTACTGGAAAGAGCAATGGAGTTCAGGATAAACACCATCATGTCTGAGTAAGGTTACACAATCCAACTTCAAGGATGTATTTGGTGTGAAACCCAGAAAAATCTATAAGTTGCATCAAACTCAGCCCTTTTTTTTTTTTTTTTTTTAACTGCACTCAAGTCTGCCCAAAAAACGTTGTGTTGGTTTTTGAATTTTGCAAGCTCAGGCAGCATTTGCATGATTGGAAATCAAGCAAAGCCTTTTAGGAGCATTAAAAATGCTGGCTTGAAACCACTCGTGCATTCACATCATGTTTTACTTCATGTTTTGTTCACCCCTCTGCAGAACAGTAAAACAACATAGTTGAGGGGTCTTTTTTGCTGCTGCTGCTTTGGTTTGTAGTCTACCTAACAGTCCTAAAATCAACCGTTTAACATGCCATGCAGGAGGTTCTCTGTTTTACCGCTGTGCAAACATTGGTATTACTTTAAGGGGAGTTGCTTCTTTGTCTTTTTCTTTTTACTGCAGGCTGAATTAACCATGTTGTAAGCAAGCATATCTGTTTTTACTCTGTAAGAATCTAACCAATTGCCATAGCAACAGGTTTGGTATCATAATACCTCAAGTCATTCAAAGGTATAGAGGTTTACAGGACACTATGCTAACAACTTTGCATTACACAAACTCTCCGTATTTTTTTTCAAATGCAAAATGTTTTTAACATAAAAAAATGGCGTTATGAACTTTTAAAAAACTTTGACAATCTAAATCATATTCAGATATCAGCAGAATGCAAACGGTTTATATTTCACTCTTTACCTAATACAATGTCCATCAATCTTATGCCTGGTCTTCACTTTTCCACGTAATGATTCCTAACTGATGAAGAAAAAAAATCTGCATTTGTGATCTGGGATTCCAGTCAAAAACGTTGTAGTATCTCAGTTGTGCCAGTAGGAGGCAATAATATCAACATTAACACATCCAAATTCAAGCCATCCTTTGCTTTGACACTGGCTACCATTTGCTCTCAGTCTTACAACGTTTTGAGTTCCATTTGAAGTTTATAAGAAAGAAATATTAGAGAGGATAGAGGAGATTTTAGGAATTCTAATGAATTAGATTCTAATGGAGATTTTAGGAATTTTTTCAGTGGAAAAAATTCCTAAAATTCCAAATCCAGAACTGCTGACAGTTGTGGATTTGAACTACCAGCACAGTTGAACATCATCTTTTTGCCAAATATCGGTGTTGGTACTGAGGGGGCCTCAACATTTATCCAATATTTTAAGTTCCACAAAATATATGAAGCAACTGTCAGTAATCAATGCTAGTGAAATGTTTGATTATTAACAGAAAAAGTGAGAAAACATGTACTCTGATTTTTCGAAGGTCATCTGACTATCACTTGTAGTAATATAACCTCTGTCATAATGTGCAGCCTCTCATGTGAATCCACTCAGAATTGTCTAAAACATCATCATTGTGGACGGTAAGCCGGTTGGACACGAGGCCTGATGATCTCGTCTTGGCACTGATGTGTGACCTCCAGCCTGTGTAGAGCAGTCCTCTGGCCTACTTCAATCCCGGCCAGCCCCTCTCACCACAGGACGCATCTCCAGTGAAGGACAGCGGTGACGGAGCGTATAGGTCCGAGTCAGTATCCGACTCCCCTTCGGCTATGAACGGTCGGACCCTGGCGCAGATTGAGCGTCCGCCTACAGCTTCAGCCGCTGCACCGCCTCCTCCTCCTCCTGAGCCCGCAAAGAAAGACGGCCCAAAGAAGTCCTCTTTCGCCTGAGAGATGCTGAAGCCGCTGAAGGAGCGCTCCAGCTCCTCGTGGTCAACAGACGGGATGGAGAGGGAGGTGTCGCTCTCCACGGCCGTGGCATCGTGCTGACACCTGTGCCTCCTGTGGCGCCGCCTGCCCTGAGAGCTGCTCTCCCTGCCGCTCCCGCACGCGCCCGAGGATGACCTGTCATGTGTCGACGCGGGTGGTGGAGGCAGGCGGAAGACGGTGGGCGACTGGTCGCCGGCGGCTAAGACGGGCGAAGGGGTGTTGGCCATGCTGCTGCCCCAGGCAGGCTGGCTGAGAGGGTGCTGCAGCTGGTGCTGCCAGGAAGTGGAGGGGCGGCTGTTGCTGCCGGATGGAGTGCCAACCGGCTGCACCACGGACTGACCGAGTAAAGGATCTTTCTTTTCCAGAGACCTATCAGAACGGGAGACGTCTGCCATTGCAGAACATGTCTTGGCTTTCTTTTGCACCTTGGTCGCCTCGTCTTCATCCTTCTCTTCCTTGGTCTCCTCCGGGCTGTGGTAAGGCGGTGCTGGGTACGGCTCCTTGGAGTTAAAAAAGGCCTCTGTTTCTGAATGAGTGATGCCCATGCGCTGCACATACACATTGACCAGGAAATCAAGTTTCCTGTCCATGCAGAAAACCTACAGGAAGAAGAAAAAAACAATACAAATATTACAACTCAGAATTGGAACAAGGTAACCAACAAATACCTTCTTAAAGGGGCAATGTGCCATACTCTAAAATGGCACATTGTCAA